GAGCACCCACCCCCAGTGCCTTCTCCTACCACCCCAGCCCGCTTTCCACCGCAACTTCCTGCCCTGCGTCTCCACAGCCACTCTCTCCCTGGGGTGACACACGAACACCACAAGTCTCTATTTATCCTTTACTGAACTATCAGCGCACACCCTCAGCCACACAACTGCCAGACTAGCCACCACGAGCCGAGACACACCACGATATCATCATTAGACTCTTATGTTTAACACATGTGAACAACTGCACCAGGAAATTGTTCGAGGCCCCCCCAAAACTGCAGAACTACGTTCTTGACTAATGCCACATACATCAAAGACCCAGCTATGGGCCAGCCTAAGGGACTCCTGTATCTCCACGTCTTCCTCCTTTCTACTCTCAAAATAAAACGTTTTCTATGCTCTTCAGGGCAACGTATGCCCTACTCTTGAAAAGGTTTTGCTATCAAAAGTGACCTTAGTATGTCAACACAGCAGAGGACCAATTGCATTAATCATGATTTCTATATTTTATGATATTTTGACATCTCAGGGGCCTCGCTGACCCGGGAGAAACTGTCCGTCCCAGGGTGAGCCAATTCTTAGACATAGCAAAGGGCTACCCTGGGAGCAAAGTGACCAATCCAGAGGCCATCCTCCTCTCTCTGGCTCTTACAACCTAGGAGGCGATATCCCCCAGCCTAATCACCCAGGGCCAGGTGCCAGACAGCTAGAGACCATCCATACAGCCTAGCGTCTGAGCTGTTATTCAAATCAGCCAGTCTACGCTGTTTCCCTGCCCTTCCCTGCAGAACACACAGTAGAGGGTCTGAGCCACGTTCACCCTCACTCCTGCTTCTGCCTGTCTCCCGTGCTTCCCCTCATGGCCCGGTGTGGTCTGCTGTGCTTCTGGTTCTTTCATGTCTACAGGAACTGTGAGGAACAGTAAACGCTGTCAATGGCATCCACCTCTCTGTGTCCCTAATCAGTCACCTCTATGAGACCTGGGTGCAAATTCGAGTTTATGTCCCCAACTTGGGGGAGTGCAATGGTGGCACTTCACCTCCTGCATTATTTGTGCTCACCTAAAAGCTGAGCCACTGCTAAAAGGGCTCTTTGATAGAATTCAGCAGTTGAGAAATGAAAGTCAAGGTGAGGCTGAGGTGAGGAGTCGTAAAGGGAAAACGACTTTCCCCCGGGAGGCAGAGCCAGTGCTCCGAAGGAAGTGTCTCACCCCAGTAGAGAGGGGGTGACGCTGGCAAAGGGGTTCAGTTATCTCCCTGCGTGGGCGATGGCTCACGCGGCTCATCTTTCCCATCCACAACGGGCTTCCCTGGGAAGTAGGTTTCGGTGAACAACAGAAACAGAATGTGGCCTTCGGGAAGGATGATGTTGAAGGGGAAGAATTCCTTCCACTGACTGCCACTGCTGTCTGTGCTTAAAAAAATGGGGAGATGGGCTGGTCGCGGTAACTCACGCCTGCAATCCCAGCACTTTGGGAGGCCGAGGCGGGCGGATCATGAGGTCAGGAGTTCGAGACCAGCCTGACCAACATGGTGAAGCCCTGTCTCTACCAAGAAACACACAAAAATTAGCCGGGCGTGGTGGTTCGTGCCTGTAGTCCCAGCTACTCAGGAGGCTGAGGCAGGAGAATCACTTGAACCCGGGAGGTGGAGGTTGCAGTGAGACAAGATTGCGCCATTGCACTCCAGGCTGGGCAACAGAGCGAGACTCCATCTCAAAAAAAAAAAAAAAGAGAGAAAAAAAAATGGGGAGACGGGGACCCCCCTACCCTACTTGATAGGTATACTGGGGAAAAATAAAACTTTGTGCTTTCAACTAAAAGAAATCAGCCACACTTATTTTCTTCTAATTTGCTATCACCTTTCTTCTCCGTATCTTTCACACTTCTTCTTATTTGATAGATAGTATTTAAATTTTGAAGAGTGGTATTTACCCAAGTAATTTAAGTGGTGGGGCACAAAAGAAAACAAGGAGAAGAAACAGATGGGTATTTTTTAACAGCACTTAAAAATTATAACAAATTTGATGTAATACAGGCAATGGAGTATTTTGATGGTAACAACTGTCAATTTTCCAAAAAGTTTATAATAAAGTGATAATAACATAGTTCACTGTAATTCTACCATCCATAAACTTCAATTGTTCCTTGATGATTCAAAAGTCCTGTGGTAAGACTTAATATATATTAAGTTGAGATACAATTTGTTGAACAGTCTTGGTGTGTTTTTTTGTTTTGTTTGTTTGCTTTGTTGTTGTTTGTTTTGTTTTGTTTTGAGAGAGGGAGGAGGTTTAAGTGCAAAAAAATTTGTGACCCTAAAAATGAGATAATACTGTTGAATTTGGTACATGAATTGGTTAAGAATTATTGTGTTTCTATGGATAAACCTTGACATTTTAAATTATTTTCTTTTGAAACTTTAAAAAGTATCCTTTCGATTCTGAAGATGAGGACACACATGGGGGGATGGGATATGCTAAAAATGCCACAGGCTTTCAGAATGCTGCCTTTGGGATCCTACTTGCATTTCAAAGACACAGGCAGGTTTGGGCAATGAATGGAAAAATACCGAACAGCATGTATTGTTCCTCAAGAAGAAAAATGACTTCCCCACGCTGCTATTACTGTTTTCTGCTTTTATTCCAATGTAACGAGAGCATGACTGCTGGAGCACTTTCAGTACAATTAAGCTGGAATGTCCTGACATTGAATGAGAGATTACATTATTTTCTGAGAAACCCTTAGAATTGGCATCTCCCCAACAGAAAAGAGGCAGAAGGGGGCAGGCGGAGGAGGAAGCAGACCGTTCTGCTTTAGCTTGATTGGTAGCAAACTGAAGCTGGGGGGTTGTTTTTTTTAGGTTTGTAAAAGGAGGCTTTCTTCATGACATGACCGTAGGATGCTGTCACCCTGACCGGGTTACTGATGCATGATGTTTCTAAGTGCTCGGTAAGTACCAATCTGCTCCCACGCTGCAGTATGCGGGGGTGTGATGCTGAACAGAGAGAGCACGACGTGATCATAGTTAATTCCCTCTGGTATCAAAAAAATAAAAACCTCTCTACCAAAAAATAAAAATGTGTGTTGCTCTCGTCTGCGTCATCATTGTTGTTCAGGCTTTTACATAACACACAGAATGAGAAGGCTCAGAAAGCCAGGCAGAACGGTGAAGAAATAAGTGAATAGTTCTGATTCCAAGAACTGTGTGACCTTATGACATTTAAAGAGTGAGGAAGAGAATGCAACAGGTTCCAAATGGTGTGGCAAGCTTACCAACTAAACTTCAGGAAGCCTCGTGGAGAAGCTGTGATCACATTGTGGTTATTTAGACACCTCCAAATGGAAACAGCAATGACAACTATTCAGCTGTGATATGAAGGTACAAAAAAATGTTCCAAAAGGGAAAGGCCGAGAATGGTCAATGCACATCGATTTTCACGAACCACTTCTGGTAAAGGTCTTCGGGCATGTGAGATGCATTTTTATTTATTTTATTCCAATCAATGACTGATTCAGTTATTCCAATCAAATGATCAGGTTAGGTTATAATGCCTAAGAAAGCTGAATACTACTGTTAATGCATAAATTCATAAAATCTCTTAGAAATCACTTGGCCAAACTGCCATTAAACCATCTCAAGATGATAGCTGAGATTCACAATAAGTGAGGCACTTGAAACACTGGATTGGAAAATACTTTCACATTTTCTCCTTATAATTAAGTGACGCTGGTATTTTCTAACTTCCACGATGAGACTGAGTTTTAGCTACTGAAAACTAAAAGAAAAATTAATAATATTATAAAATCTTTCTAACAAAATGCTTGATGGATTGATATACCATCAATATTGTATATTATGAGATATGTATATTTTAAAACTGAAACATCACATACGCCTTCAATGAACAAAGCAAAACTGGCAGCTGTGATGTGTTCTTTAGTGGTTGTGACCCTCTGGTTAAGAACACTCACCTCATAGAGGAAGCCAACTAAATGTACCAGCTGGTTGGGCCAGAAAGAACATATAAGTATCTCAGATTCAGTTATTCCAATCAGTATCACCAACGTGCATCACACAATGGAAATTACACTACTGTCCTGTAACAGATAACACCTGGTCTGATCACCGTAAAACTTTCTTTCAAAAAAATAAAGATAATTTTAGGTTAGTGTTGGAGAAAAACTTACTGAATATTTACATCCCACACCGGCCATCCTCCCTTCGTATATTCTGATCTATTTTCCTGGAACAGACAGATTACCATGGCATGGCAGATTTTTAATGTTCTTGTATATTAATAAACGGATAGTAAACTGAAATTTATGGATGGGGCTAATTTCTAATGCAAATCCCAACAGAAAAAGATGACTGTTTCCTAAATGCTTAGTAACCATTGAGCAATGAGACAAGGTTCTACTTTCAAGGCATTCTTTGTACTTGGTGGTTTTATGTTTGACATCCCAATGCATATACAATTTTAACTCACTTTTGCTCACTTTATTGTGTGTAAATATATATATATGTATCTCCTCCAGTGAACTATACTGTTCTCAGGTTTTTCTATATCCAAGGTACACTTTCTTATGTTTTGACATTCATTTGATTACAACATGCAATTTACAACACCTGGGACTACAACAGGACATTAAACACAGTTCTATCCGGTGGCTACTACTTCTTGGGTAAGGACTAGTTTGGGCTCCTGCACTGAACAATGGTGTGATTATTCAATTTCACAGACAACTTCACAGCAACACGCAAAGCCTAAGGGTAGTTTTGGTTAGCCTGTGTTCTAAGAAATCCACTTCCAGATAAAAACGTGGTTCCCCATATTGTCTACACACTAAAGCATGCCTTTACCATCTGGCAGAGCAAGATCCTGACTGGGAAGGGAATCCTCCTTTCTTGTGAAACCTAAACCACATGTAAACCATCTGCAGGGTCCTGTGCTGCCAGTGAACTGTACTCCCCAAGCACCTGCTTCCAAGAGATTTTCTTAGGTTTTTTTTTTTTCCCAACTATGGGCTCCATTCAGACTTCAGGCTAACCTTGTACAAGATCAGATCCCACCAGACACAGAATTGTCATTTTTGAGGACTCAATGTTTGGCAAGCGTCCCATTTTGGAACCTTATCCACAAGCACTTGACAAAGCACAATGAGTGGACGGCTATTCGTCCATGCCTGACATTTATAAAAGTACAAGGGCTTCCAGAAACCTTGACAGAGAGAAAAATCAATTATTTCTCTCCCTGGCATTAGCCAGCTCTTGCCGACTATTCATCTTACGCGTGATGATGACTAATATCCGTCGGATGGCAAGGAGCCGCTCTTTGAGTGAGGTCATGCCGAGGATGGCCAGCTGAGCCTTGCGCTCCAGGGGCAGCACGGCCAGGATCCACCAGGACCAGGCAGGGCCGCTGGGATTACTCTGCAAAAGAGATGAGAGGAAAGTGAGATTAACACTGAAAATGCAAGCCTGTTCCCCAACACAGTCTTTTGCTCCGCCAACAGACACGTGAGCAAGAATTAAATGCCACCTTGTATTTCAGAGCTACTTCACAATTCATTCAGCTCTCAAAATACATCGTTTACTTTTACGGCACACATTTAAAGGTGGGGGAACCACAAAAGGAAGAATCTGCAAACAGAAGCATCTTCCGCGGGGAGATTCTATGAATCAGTTGCTTCTGTTCTCTCAAGCTTTCAGTTAAGAGTATATACCGGTCAGAGGAGAAGATCATCACTTTAACCTTCACTTTCCAGTGTTCTGTGCTATTATTTTTTACGTCTTAAGCATGCCATATAAAGCATAATACTGTTAAGGGCTAAAAGTATGTGTACAAGTTTGAGTGACATACTCAATGTGGCAAATGAGTGTATGAAACATATATATGTATGCATATCATATGTAAGAGTTATCACAAATTATATACATAAGAATTATTATGCCACCAAATAACCTTTATTTCACATAATCGAACAGAGCACTTCTGGGCTAAGTGCTAGGCAAAAGCCAATCATAAACTTGTTCTCAATATTCTTGGTATTGGAACCAAGATATCCAGGCCTTTTTGTTTCCAGGGTCTAGGATTCTTAACTCTATTCCTCCTCCAAAAATGTGCAGGATGCCAACAAGAGCTGGGAGGGTGGACTCTGGAGTCGCCTTAGTTTAGGGTGAGGTAGATTATACTGGAGGATTAGGAATAGCACTGTGGCCAAAGCTCACTGGGGGTAGCCCAAGTCACTGTGAGGAAGACATCAACCTGCCCTTCAGAGGGAGAAGGGCACAGATGGAGAAAACAACCTTTTAAACAGATTCACACTCTTTTCCCCGCCTCATCTCGCAGAGAAAGAAGAAAACTGAGTAGCATGCTTAATGGGAAGGACCTCATATAAAAATCGATATATTACCTAAAATCCCTCTGTAGTCATCAGAAAAATGGTTCCCCCAAAGACTCTAATTCCTGAAACCTGGGAATATGGTACCTTATATGGCAGAGCGAATTGGAGGATGTGATTCAGTTAAGGACTTTGGGATGGGGGAATTATCCTGATGGGCCCAATGTGTTCATATAGGGTCCTTTCTGGGCTGTGGTCAGAGGGACACGTGGCTTTGGAAGGACCGTCGGAGAGAAGCAACATTGCTGGCTCTGATGGAGGAAGGAAGCCGAGGATTGCCACCAGCCTCTACAAGCTGCAAAGGCAAGGAAACAGACTCTCCCTCACAACCTCCACAGAGGAGCACATGCTGCCATCACCCGGATCATAGTCTGGCCTGCAGAACCAGGACTGGAAGATAAAATACATATGTGTTGCTTTAAGCCACCACATTCGTGAAATTTCTTAACAGCAGTAGTCGGAAGCTAATATACCTGCCAAGTAGAGATGGATTAATTTGGTTAATAAACAAAAACTCCTAGAAAAAGAGTGACTCATATCCTAATGCAAGTCAGTCTAACCATCATGTTTTCTGAATCTGAGTTCCAGGACATTGTAGAACAAAGGCTTATGCAAAAAGGGCAAGCCAGAAAGGACTTAATGGCTATTTCTGGCAGTTAAAGCATTTTTCTGTGTTTGGAAAAGAAAGAATTCAGGCAGGGGGTAAAATATAGAAGCTCCAAGAGATAGAAAAAAAAAAAGTTAAAGTGGATGGGGAAAGACACAAAAGACATTTCACATCACCCTAAACCAGCTGAGAGCCAATCTCCCTCCCGTACTGTCTTTGACAGCTGGGCATCCGTGTACAGGTGGGAGGTATACGCTCTCAAGCACAATCTTAAACCAGCCCAGCCTGGCTCTCCCATCTAATGCAGAGGAGAGGGCCACCTGAGCTTAGAAATGCTCCACAAACCTGAAGCTCATTCTATTGCTTAAAGAACCAGCGTCACCAAGAGTACGCGTAGGGAGCACTGGAGAAAGCCCATGACAGCTGGGCGGCAGGGTCCTTACAGGACAAGGAAGTCATGCTTCTAATGTCACAAGAAGGATGGGATTTTTCTCTTCACTTATTCAACATCTGTATACCAGGTGCAAGGCAATGCTATGTGCCGAAGGTGGAGTGTTCGTGCCAATACAATAAAGTTACTACTTAAATTTTAAGATGTGAGTGAAAGAAGCAAAGGGCTGCAAACTGACAGTCAAGCAGAATAAAATGTTGTTAGAAAAGAAACTGTTCTGTTAGAAAGCCTTTGGTGTTTTGCTTCACAAGTCCTGTGCTACCACAGTAGGTGCTCCTTTGGGCTGTTAGTAGAAGAACTGGTTCATAAGCAACCACACTGGGGTACCCACCATCATACTGCCAGGCTCTCCACCAGAACGATGGCTCAGCACACGACAGCAGGAAATAACAGAATTATAAAGGAAAAAGGAGAGCATACCTGAGGCTCCGGTTCTCTGTCTGGCATTACCCCAAAATGACTTAAAATTTGTTCTTTCATGCGATCCTGGAGAGACGCGAACCAGGAAACAGACTGTTGATGCACGGAATCGTGGAGCGCGGCAAGTTCTTCATACGCCGGACCCTCCACCTGATCAGGGAAAAAGGCAGGGCCGTATGAACCATCCATGGTAATGCACATAACACAGTTAGCGACCTCTACACTGCCACTGAGTGGATTTGTGGCATTTAGCACTTTAATAATTCATCAATTTCACAAAAATGGTACATGCCCAATATAGAAATCTGCATTTTTTTTGCATAGTTGAAATCTATCAATTGTATCTTGATTTTTCTCTTCATACCATAATATAAGCACGTTTCACATAATTTTAAAATAATTTTCAATGGCTGCATGCAATTTTATACTTGAGATACATGCCAATTTACTTAACTATTCACGTAAGTTATTTAGAATAGTCTAGCTTTTTATTTTTAAAAATAACACAGTAATATAAACACTTATGCAAAAGTTGTTTTGTTTTCTTTTGTTTGTTGACAAGGGAGGGAGGTATGGTTTCCTCAGGATAGTTTCCTAGAGACCTTGATAGAATTACCAAGCCAAAGGGTGACATTTTAAAAATTGTATTCCATATCACCAAACTATATTCCTAAAGGCATGATAGGGCAAGACTATCCTCATTACATTGGCCTGGGCTGATGGACTCCAGCTTGTCATCGGCCACAGCACCTTAGACTGGCCAAGCTTGGCCTCTGGCCCCTATGTCACTGTCATGTCTGTCATTAAATTATGCCTCGCTCCTGTTCAGGAACACCTGGCAGAGGAGGAAGAGCATGGAACTGGGAATCACGGGACCAGGGTTTGTTCTGGCTTCATCACCAACTCTCCTGTGTGAATCTAGCCAGTCTCACAGCCTCGTGAGGGCAGAGTTTTCTCATCTGTATAACAGGAATAAACCATGCAGGTCCTTTCCTGTTATAAAATTCCAGTACCTACAAAAACTACGGTGTGCTGAGAAATTATAATGTAATGCATACACCACCCTCAATTTGATTTATATAAATCAAATATTCATATGTGATAGAGGATTTTCTTGTAAAAGCAAGCTAAAATTGTTTCATGTTGCATCTATTTAAGCCCCCATTTTAAAATAAACACATACGCTATGAAAAGCTGTCATCTACAACGACGGTCAATAAACCCTGCTGTCAGGTCTGTCCACCCCGCAGAGAGACCCTGAAGATGATCACTTTCAGCCGTAGCTTTGAAATCCAGCTTTCTGGTCCAGTCTGGGGGTTGGGCTCCCTGCTCTGCTCCTCTGCACTGGGATGACCAGAAACCGCAGCTGGAGGAGGCAGAGAGGTAGCGTCCTGGGTGTGACTCCATTCACAAATCCTAAGTGTACACGACTGCCCCAAAAATGACTCCTAGTGTGATGTGGGGTGGCTGTGTACCCTCACTTCCACATTTCCAAATGTCAACCAAAGAATTTAAAAGAGGAATAAAAGATAATTCCAAGGATTTCCTCCTTTTAAGTATTTTAAAATTTCTTGCTGCAGTATAATGTACAGACCAAAAAGTGCATAGATCTTGTTTAGCTCAAAGAGTCTTCTCAAAGAGTATACACCATTTCTCAACTGTATACACCAGTCTGACCATCACCCAAAACCAGATAGACATTTCCACTACCTAGAAAGATTCTTCACCGCCCCCTCCAGTCAATTACAAAGCCAACCCCACAAGCCTTTTCTGACTTCTGTCCCCAGAGTCTAGTTCTGCCTGTTCCTGGAAGTATACAGATGAAGCCACACAGTATGTGTTCGTCCTGCGTCTGGCATCTCTCACTTAGCATGTCTATGAGAGTCATCCATACTGTTTAGTGCACTAGTGGTTCATTTCTTTTTATTGACAGGTAGTATTGCATTGCATGGATGGACCACAATGTGTTCACTGACTCAAGTGTGATCAGCACCTGGACTGTTCCTGGTCTGGAGCTATAATGGAGTAAGACTGTTATGGACATCCTTGTGTCAGTCTGTTGGAGAATCTCTCAAAACGTTTTGCTAATTTGTCAAATCATAGGTCCTGATATTTCTACGAGACACATGAAAAAATTCTTAAGGGGTAATAAATTCAAGTCTTTTCTATTTAGCTTTGGGAGGTATTTTAAAGTTGTAGATTTTGTCACGTTCTGAATTAATACCAATCTAGAGAGCAGAGACTGACAGACTGCTGTTTCTGAGTCAAACCATGCTCACCACCATGTTTCCGGAAATCACATTCAATGGAAAACCGTCATGCTCATGCCTTCACACATTGTCTATGGCCGCTTTTGCACTGCAAGGGCAGAACTGAGTAGTTTTGACAGAGACCATATGGCCTGTGGAGTCTAAAGTACTTATTATCCAGCCCTTTACAGAAAAAGTTTGCCAGCTCCAGGGCTAGAGCATCCAATAGCAAATCACAAGCCTATTTTGCAATGTGCAGGTTTACATGTTGCCTAAGTACAGTAAGGTCTTTTTTTTTTTTTTTTTTTGAGATGGAGTCTTGTTTTGTCGCCCAGGCTGGAGTGCAGTGGTGCCATCTCAGCTCACCGCAACCTTTGTCTCCCGGGTTCAAGCAATTCTCCTGCCTCAGCCTCCCAAGTAGCTGGACTACAGTTGCCCGCCACCACACATGGCTAATTTTTTATATTTTTAGTAGAACCAGGGTTTCACTGTGTTAGCCAGGATGGTCTCAATCTCCTGACCTCGTGATCTGCCTGCCTCGGCCTCCCAAAGTGCTGGGATTACAGGCGTGAGCCACCACGCCCGGCCAGATCATTTTTTTTAAAGGAGATTTCTGTACTAGCTCCCAGCTCAGGTAAAAATCCACTGAGAAAATAAATAACTGACGAAGGCAATGGCTCATGCGCTTTGGGACTACTACGCTTTGGCCGAGGTGGGAGGACTGCTTGAGTCCAGGAGTTTGAGACCAGCTTGGGAAACACAGGGAGACTCTGTTTCAACAAAAAAAATTTTTTTAATTAGCCACGTATGGTAGTGTGCACCTATGGTCCCAGCTACTGGGGAGGCTAAAGCAGGAGGATCGTTGGAGCCCGGGAGGTCAAGGCTGCAGCGAGCTGAGATCATGCTGCTGCACTCTGGCCTGCACGACAGAACGAGACCTTGACTCAAAAACAAACAAACAAACAAACAAATGTAAGTGACGAATTAAGGACTTAAGTAATATTGTCAGTACAAGTTTGACAAAGCTTTTCCACAACGCAAGAGGGAAACAAGAGGACAGACCTCTACAAAATACACCAGTACAATAAGCCTTACCTTTTCATCTTCAAGATACTCAATGTCCGCTGTGTTATAGCCGTCTCTGTGACGGTGGCTAAGCACTCGGAACCGACTGACGCCAATCGCGTCTACAACAGAACTTCCATCGGGAAACGTTTTCACGTCCTTAATCTCCAGCATGCATCCATATTCTGAAAGCCTGAAGAGACGGTTGGGAGAAATGACTGTGATTTTTAAAAGGCAGGGGGCCTTTAGTTTTCCCTGGATGAGGGTTTGCTTTTAAAAGGAATACAAAGCCACACAAAACGGTGTCTCCACATCAGACCAGCAAGGTTACTGTCGCTGAGAGACACGTGCACATGGTCGCTTGTGTTAGACGCTAAATATAGTGGTGATGGTGGCTGCAGGGGAAGGGCTCCGGGTGAGACAGGACTTGTGCCTTAGCAGTTCCAACGGGCTAGTGTTTTGGGAAGGACTCAAGAGATGGGAAGAGATGAAATCTCAAATGTGGCTCCTCAGCCACCTTGGCGGGGCAACATCAGGACTGCCCAGCTGGTGCCATGCACACATTCGGCTTTCCAAAGCTCTCCCCAGCTCTTACCCACACTCTGTAACTATCACCCTTATCCTAGTGATATTCTCATGCTACCACGTGCCAAGTACCGCATGGAACAGTTTATAATACATATGCATTCAAGCCCACACTTAAAATTTGATTCATCAAAAGTCAACAAAGTGAAAACACAAGCTATAGGAGTTCCACGTGCACTGAGAATACAGAACACTAAAAAGAGTGTGAAAAAACAACAAGAAAAACCAGATAAACCACAAAACATATGTCTCTTGAAGCCATCAGAGAGTGGAGATTGCCCAGGGTAACCAAACAAAGATCCCACAGGGAAAGAGTAGGCAGAGCCCAGGAAGAGACATAAAAGCGTGTAGGAAGAATTCAGCTATTTTTTTTTTTTTTAAACAAATTGCCAATGACCTTGTGTGGGCTGGCATCAGAGTGCAGGTCTGGAGAGCTACACTCACAAAGGGAGTCTGCATCACACACAGGCTCTTAATCACAGATAAGAGGCTCCTTGGTGAGTCATGTCCTGCAGTGAGGCAGGCGTGGATGAGCTGACGTTTATTTGGAAGCCTCTGCTGGTGCTGGTTGCTGGGGCAGCAAGTCCTCCACCTTCAAAGGCACTCAGCTCCTCCTCCCTCCTGCCTTTGCCCACAAGGTCTTCACCTCATTCCAATTCTGCCAGCTCTGCCCTCCCCAACCAAAGTGCTGTGGAAAGCAGTCCCCGGCCACTGCCTTCATCTCCTTGCCTCCCCTTCACTCCTCCATATCCTACCGTTCCATTAAAATGCCTCCAAAAGTAGTCAGAGATGCCCTCTGAATTGCTCAGATCACTGGACAGGCTCCTGTCTGACCTCCCTAAGGCACGGCCCTGCAGACTGTTGCTGAGCCAATGCCTCTGCTCTCCTGCACCCTCTCTAACCAGCCCAGCCCTTCACAGCCCCTACCTCTGCATGTCCCTGCTGCTCCGTACTACCCAGAATGGTGCTCTAGGATATGGCTATTCTCATTCCAAAGCTCTCCCCAGCTCTTACCCACACTCTGATTGTAACTATCACCCGTAACCCAGTGATATTCTCACGCTACCACGTGCCAAGCACCACACACAGCAGTTTATAATATATACGAATTCAAGCCCACACAACACGGAGGCTCAGAGGAATTAACTTCTCTAAGGCCACAGGGAGATTCAGAGCCGAAATGAGAATTCATGGCAGTGTGATTCTAAAGTCCTCATGGTGAGCAGCTTTACTACACATCCCTCAAACTAAAGAGCAGCAATGATTCAAACTGCCACCTGGATGCCTCTACTTATACACTTAATAAAACTCTCTCTTAACTCTCTGTTCCTGGTATCTAACAGGATGATCTCATTCACAGCGTGGGGAACCTGGAGGCGCCCTGAAGATTCCTCTTCAAGGGAGGACTGAATGCCCCCAGCAACCAGCAGGGGCCTCTAAATAAACGTCAGCTCCTCCAAGCCTGCCTCGCTGCAGGGCATGACTCACCAAGGAGCCTCTTATCTGTGGTTAAGAGCCTGTGTGTGATGCAGACTCCCTTTGTGAGTGTAGCTCTCCAGACCTGCACTCTGATGCCAGCCCACACAAGGTCATTGGCAATTTGTTAAAAAAAAAAAAAATAGCTGAATTCTTCCTACACGCTTTTATGTCTCTTCCTGGGCTCTGCCTACTCTCTCCCCGTAGGATCTTGTTTGGTTACCCTGAGCAACCTCCACTCTCTGATGGCTTCAAGGAGTGTATGTTCTGTGGTTTATCTGCTTTTTCTTGTTTTTCTTGTTGTTTGGATGGGAATAACATTCTTTTCAGGGTTCTATATTCTCAGTGCACGTGGAACTCTTATAGCTTATTTTTTCACTGTGCTGACTTTAGATGAATCAAATTTTAATATATGCTAATTTACTAATCTCTCCCTCTTTTATGTATTCTCAGCACCTGGTATAAAAAAATCTTTCCCCATTCCAAATTATAAAGGCGGTCCCCAATATTTCCTCTTAAATGTTTTTATATTTTGTTTTTCACATTTCACATTAGGAATACAAATGTGTTATTTTTTATTTATGGCATAAAGTAAAGTTTTCTTCTCCCCTCTCATTTGGACTATCCACTAATTTTCTGGGCACCCTTTATTGAGTAGTTTGTCTTTTCTCATACAATTGTCTATAAATTTGGCGTCCATATACGAGTGGACCTGTTTCAGATCTCTACCTTATTGTTTCATTGGTCTACTTACTAAGGCTTGTAAACTTGATATTATAGGAATGTTCTCCTGTTTGTTCAGCCAGATCTGGGCTTGGCCTTTTGCTTTTCCGCACGGATTCTAAAATCAGCTTGAGCAAGTCCATGAAGAAGCCTCCTGGAGATGTTGACAGAAATTACTCTAGATTTGGGGAACTGGGTAGATACGGAATCTCTACGACATCGAGTCTCTGCACCAACAGACATGGCATTTCTCTCCATTGATTCAGAACTTCTTGAATATCTTTCAAGTTTCAGAATTTTCTCCATAAAGGTCCTATACATATTTTAAAAAGCTCTGTCCCTAGGTATTTATGGTAGAAAATTCTGAGTGGCCCTAAAAATGCAGTCTCCTCTTCTTCCTGGGCACGTGGGTGGACTCTATTTGCCAGGCTCCTCTGCAGCAGGTGTGAACAGGAGGCAGCCCCCTTTCTCCAGAGTCCTTTAAGAGCACGTGCGCCTCCTCCACAGTTAGCACTTGGATGCAGTGACCTCATCATGACCATGTAGGGCTGACAAGGCCCTAAGGGATGGGAGGGTCCTGAGTCCCCAAATCAGTCTACAGAGGGGAACAACCTGCTGGCCTGCAACACCCTCTCTGGACAAAGACGTGAAACGAGGGGAGGGGAAAACCAAGCATAGTGCGTTTTTGTGAGACTGAAAATGATTTGGCTGTAGAGACAGAGAAAAAGCTTTGTGCAGGATATAGACATTTTTCTTTTTTAATTTTTTTTGTAGAGATGGGGTCTCCCTATGCTGCCTAAGCTGGTCTCCAACTCCTGGGCTCAAGCGATTCTCTCACCCTCGCCTCCCAACGTGCTGGGATTACAAATGTGAGCCACCAAGCCCAGCCGCAATTTTTCTAGACCTCAAAAGTTGGACTAGATTTGTTTGTATATAAATGAGGATAAAGAAAATTGCAGGCAGAGGGAAGCATGGAGGTTTGGAAGCATGAGGTGTCACAAGAGAAGGGCAAGTAGCACGGCAGTGGACTAGCTTGAAAGGAAGAGGTGGGCAGTGAGGCTAGAAAGAAGGGATGGGACCGCATTGTGGGCAGCCTTGAACTTGGACTTTGCTATGTAATGGGAGTCACTTGAACTTGGACTTTGCTATGTAATGGGAGTCACTTGAACTTGGACTTTGCTATGTAATGGGAGTCACTGGAGGTTTTCAAGCATCAGCCTAAATCATTCTGCAAGAAAAACGTCAAACGTTGCCCTTCATTAGGACCCTTTGAATGCTGACAGTCCTTACCCTGCGTGCTCAGCAGATAGACACATGCCAAACCGCTTGGTGCCAGTTTCCATGCATCTTCTTATCATAAGCCGATAGCGGGGCTCAAAGACGTGGAGTGGACACGGGACCGTGGGGAAGGCCATGGCACACACAAAGATGGGGACGTCTCTGGTCAGACTGCAGAAGTAAGGGGACATGTTACCTCAGATACATGAGCTGTTAGATCAGAGGGTAGTACTGGCCACCAAAACAGCAAAAGCCAGCCAACCTCAGTTCTCCCCTCTACAAAAGAAAACCCTCAGGCTAAGAGGGACAAGAAAGCCAAGGACTATAGCACATGAAAATTCTCTGCTCACCCAGGTTTCCTGACCAATCTGTCTTATTTAACTTGAGAAAGGAGAAGATGCTGAATTATATTACTTTGCTTGGAAAAGTTATACCTTTTAAGCACTCTATAAAAATTATAATAAAAGCAAAAACTGCATAGTACTCAAAGGCAATGAGTTTTAAATAGAAGAGTGGAAGAGTGATAAGATCGCTACTAAAATACAAAACTTTTGCCATTTTAAAAGATGAAAACTGTCAAGCCTGTCGTGATTCGCAATCCTGGGTATTAGTTCTCATTCTCTCTACTTTTTAAAACTGTGCTTCACTTTACTCCATTTTGCAGATATTACATTAAAACAATTTTTGAGGTAAAATATATAATTTACTATTCTTAAGTGTACAGTTCATCAGTAACAAATACATTTATATTATTTGCCTTTTATTTATTTTTAAATATTTTTTAAATACAGAGATGGGGTCTTGCTATGTTGACTAGGTTGGTCTTGAACTTCTAAGCTCAGGCAATCTTCCTGCTTTGGCCTCCCAAAATGCTAATATTATAGGCATGAGCCACTGTGCCCAGCCTTCTTTGCTTTTTAAATCCTGAAAAATTCAGTATCACTTATTTACATACAAAAAGCAACTATATAATTTTGTTAAAACACTGTAAAAATACCTTATTAAAAAAGAAAAAAATTCTTATAACTTCTTGCAATTATATTTCCAAAAATACTTTACAACTAACATTTGTTTCCATTTACACGCCAAGAGAGTTCTCTGCCATGAAAAGAAAATCTGAGGTGAAGCTGAAGTTGACAAAGTTCAATCTGAACTTAAGACCAAGGACACACAACATGAGCACTTACTTTGACAGTTCTGACATTTCTTCATCATAAATTCTCTTCCTATCAGACAATTCATCCGGCAAATATCGAAATATTAATTCTTCGGCCAGAACAGTTATGTTAAAGTTCCTGCTTGCCAATAACTTCAATAAAAACAAACAAACAAAAATAGTCAAATGATACTGTATGGTAACTGACTCTAAAGGATGAAGCTTCCGTGAGTCAAAAGGTGAACAAAGAGGTGGCGGCTAGGATCTCTGAGCAGGTAAGAAGAAACAGGGATGGAGAGGGAGGCGGGCCAGTCTGTGCCAGGAGCCCGGACAGCCCCTCCGCTGTGAGAAAAGGCCAGGAGGAGGCGTTCACCTGGGCAAAGGATGAGGCAACTCAATCTTGACAGCATCTACATTTTCAACCAAGTGCCCTGATGTTGGTGAGAGGGGAGGGAGTGAAGTAGGGCATGTTGGGAGTGGAGAGACTTTTGCAATGATCAGCTTGGAGAGTCAAGAACTGGAACTACTAGAGAAAGCAGGTAAGAATGATTACTCATGTTTTGAGTCTAAGACTTAAAATTGTTAATTTAAACTGACACCAATCGTCTCAACGTTGTGTTTTTTTCTAGCTTTGTTGTGTTACTCAGGATGCATGCAAAAGGCAAAAGTTGACTTTCTTTGGATTGAGAAAGAGAGTGAGGGACCATAGATTAAAGCTGGATGTGAGGGAAAGGTGGAAGGAGACTCAACAAGAAAGTGCTGGGATCAGTGGGTAGAAGGGCCACAATGTGGCTGAACTACTACTCTGTGTGTGCGTGTATGTGTGTGTGCATGTGTGCACACAGAGTAGTAGTTCGGTAGGCTGCACTGTTTTATTGCAGGCATGTATACTAGCATATAGTAGCTCTTTTCACTGACATTCTGATACACATCAGGACCATTGCAGGTGCTTTATCGGTCCTGAAAACAGTATAATACTATGGTTGTTCTCTCAATTGTGCTCATAAAGCTGTGATTCAGAAAGGGTAAGGGGGTCAGTGCTGAGCCCCCATGGCACACAAGGACCCCAGGCCTGGCGAGCTTCAGGGCTCTGCTCTTTCTTTGGTGGCCTGCTGTATTTCTGCGCTTGGTACGGCTCCACGTATTTCCAACACACGATGGCTGGGTGAGTCCTTCGCATACTGTCAGGTTTCCCTATAGCTGGTGTGAAACAAACTACATGTATTGCTGTGACTGACTGGGAACCAGGAGTTCAAACTTTGGAAACGCCTACGTTTGAGAACCACCATCACAGGGTAACTGGTAGAGAAACACGCTATCACCTCATTCACAAAACTGCTTTAAAATTGTCATTATTATATGACATAGGTATTTAATAAATGGTTTATGACGTCCTTTTATTGAAGAGTAATATAATAAAATGTGTTCTACTTGGCATGATGCTAACCAAGGGTTCTGTAGATTCATATACAATTGATGATTCAAGTCCCTGGTAGTGCGTGCAAAGTCACCTATGCACATGATGTGACTTCTGCATTGAAGAAAGACGAAACTATAATTTTGGATTTTATTTCATTTTATAGTATTCTAATTTCTAATTTCTGGAACATTAGTAATCCATGCATAGTTTGCATGTAATCATTCATTCATTCATTCAACAAAGACTTCTAAAGTCTGGTGAATGTGCTGGTCCCTGGAAATAGAGGGAAAACAGGTCACAGAAAGCCTCAGTACTTAAGCAGCTTCTATTCTAGCACCAACCTCCAGCTATCACTTCTTCACTCAGCCCCCTACAAGGCAGCATTGAAACGGAAGTGAGTAAGGTCTGTGTTGTAAACAGGGCTCACACATACATGCATTTTATTCTTATAAGAACAGACGACCTGTTCTGGCCCAGGCAGGCACCAGAACAAGAGGCAATGGGTCCGATGCATCTACTAGCAAGAAGAGACAGCAAATGCCTGGAGGAAAACTGCACAGGGGCCACCAAGGAAACAGCTCTGCAGACTCAGAACACAGCCACCACCGTGACACACAGTGCACAGCACAATAATTGATGTTTATGAGAACTCTGAAGACTTTAAAAAGATTCAGTATGCATGCAATTTAATAAAGCAAGTATGCACATATAATGTTTTAGAAAATGGTTTCAGTTGTAACTAGTTATTTTAAAAATGTTTTGGCAGTAAATTTTCAAGGTTATAATTATTTAAAACTTCACTTAAGTATAATATCTCCTCTTATCACATCAGATTTAAAGAATAAATTTTACTGTACATTTGTAAAAAGAAAAAAAACTTTATCCTACTTAAAATGCATTCAATAAATTTAATCTCTGGAAAATAATTAAGGCAATATTATCAGTCTCATTTAATGAATGCAAAACAAAGGAAGATGCTCCCCATCTCCTTAAGATGTTATATGACTTGCTCCATAGAAAGTTAATGGTGCTAATGGGACCACAGCCCAATACAGCTGACATGGATTCACTATTTCAGAAATTGATCAGAAGGTCTTCAGCTTTTAAATATTCTTCATTGTATTTACCATACCTAAAGTAAATGGATTTAATCGTTTATATTGGGGCTAAATATCATTAAATAGCTTCCCCATGGAACCCGACTTTTACTGGTTTTGATTTCAGACCAAAGACAATAATAACTGACAACTGGTAAAAGCCCTAAAGGGACTCACCAGTGGTCAGAAATGATCAAGTCTTCAATCCTACGAAAAACTCTCAAGATGAAAAAGAGAATTCCTGGAGCACATTAAGTGCACCATGACAATGTATCAACCATTTACAATGAACGTAATGTAAGGGCTCATAATGTGAGCTATTTTCAATCTATCTCAACTAAAATTTCTACCTAAAAATGTCCTTAACATTTAGCAATTTCTGCATGTAAACCTTCCTTGTGTATTTCTTGATCAATCAAAGAGATGAGAAAAGACCTATCTTTGATTGGAGAAATCTCACTTTCTTTAACAACTGGGCAGGGGAAGCAATGCAAGACAGGGAATAAGCATCCACCAAGGGATGAGAGGAGGAGCTGTCCCGTCATTTCCCAAAATGTACTTACTTCTGAAAGTTTGTCTTTGCACAAAGGACAGTGTGGAGCATGGTCAAGGCAGCGCTCAAGGCATTTTAGGCAAAATGTGTGTCCACAGGGCGTAGTGACAGGTTCAAAGAGCAACCTGGAACAAAATATCTGTTTTCAGCCAGAAATGTCCAGGACAGACTTTCAAATCACGCATTGGTTTTCGAAGGATTCCTTATGCAATCCCCTTACTGTTCTAGAAAACACTTGCATGCACTGCCATTTTATATCCTCTCAAATCTTTAGAAGATAAATGAACTATTACTGAGCTCTCCATAGTTTCCCTGATAATAAAAAGCCCATTACACTTTGGTATACATTTCAGAAAGGCTGAAGTTTTAAAACAGTTGCATGGATTCTGTACCATCCTACCTCATGCAGAGGGCACACTCAAAGTCAGTTACATCAAGCGAGAGCCCCTGACTTTCTTCTGTCTCAGAGTTTGGGCTCCTTTGAGGTGAGAGATCTGAATGTGAAAAAATTTAAAACGCTGTCATTAACACCTAAGCACCTGAACAACACCCATGCAAGAAATGTATTTCCTCTGGACGAAATGTGTTGTATCAACGTAACAAATCACACTGGGCAGAAATAGTTTCTGTTCAGTTAATAGCATATAGCAATAATTTATCTGGATGGTAAGCATGAATAAAATTTAAAATTTTGGCTAAATTTTCTCTGCTATTTTTGACTATGAAGTCTTTGCAGTATAAAACACCTAAAATGCTCTATCATCTTAGAGCTGATATAATCATTTCATTACTAATATTAAATGGTGTAAAAATTTTTTAAATATATTGAATACTAGCTAGCATTCTGTCACTTTGGAGTCACAGAACTGCCTGATGAAAATAGTTCACTGACCTTTCTTGGGAATTTTTCCAGGGGCGTTCAGGTCAGGTGCATCCTCCACGTCATCTGGAAACTGCCTCTTTAAGCCAGCGCTGGGTGCTGTTGGAAGGATGCTTTCTAATGCCTTTTTATCCTCTTCAAAGTGTAGACCCAGTATAAAATACAAAACTGAAGAATTGGTATTTCCAAGCATATCAGATTTCTCAGATGAATTCTGGTTAAGTAGGAAAAAAAGGAATCCTGAATATTAAAGAAATCATAGCATAAGATAAAAAGAATGCAGTAGCCTGTACTAGAAATCTTTGGAAAAAAAAAGCGGGGGGCTTATACTCTTCCTTCATAATTGGTTTCATCTATTAATTTCTAAGATGAGCTTCATTCTTTCCACAGTAAAATACAGGATAATTTCTTCCTGAGCTGGGAAAGTGAAAAGTTATCTTCATATGCAATCTGTCTGTCTATCTGTCTATCTACACACACATGCGTGCACACACACACACACGTACAAACACACACGTACACACATAAAATCGTATGTCATATTCAAATCATCCCTTTGCTTTATTTTCTCCAAGCCAAAATAACTTAAAGTCTCCTGCCATTTTGCATGATTTGGTGGTGTTCCAAAGCTTCTTTCGATCTTTAATCATTCTCATTACTTCCACAGACTTCATGTAAAAGTTCCAACTCCCAGGTTAAGGAGCTACAACTGATCTTGAGAAATATGTCTAACTAACGTAATGCCATAATGTGTGAATAATCTGTAACTGTTCAAAAGGAAGCAATTACATAAATCTTAATCAAGAGAATCCTGACAAACACATGCCCGTCATACCTCCGAGCTCCCTGCATCACGTTCTTCCAGCAGAGCCTGGGCATTCATGTGGCTGTGACCCTGAGCCTTTAATCTGCTTTGGATGGAAGATGTTAAATTTTCATGCACATTTTCTGTAGCTGAAAACAGCACTTCACACATTACCTATAAAATTGCCAAGAAAAGAAAAAAATATATATTTTAAAACACTTTTGTGAAAATATAGTATGTCTTATAGATTCAGAGGAAACTAAGAGGCCAAATAAGCCTAAAACGTGAAAAGAATAATTTTAACTGCCAACCTTGTAAAATCCAAACATTTTTGAAACCAGAGTCAATGTATTGTTATTTTAGCTTCCAATTCCTTTCCGTCTTACACTTCCCAATGACAAAAGCATTACCACTTCCTTCTACCTGGTCCTTACACACTACATAAAATCTCCCCTAAAAGCCACACAGATAAGAGAGAAAGGTAGTGTAAAGGTTGCTGGGGGCTTTGAATTAAATCTAAGCTGTGATCACCCACAGGGCTGAGGTCACTATACAGAACTGCTTTATTTATGAGAACCAGAAGAGCCACCAGGTAAAGAACTTTAAAGGAAGAGAGAGGGAAAGGCCATAATTGTGGTTCAAGAACCAGGGAGCGGCATGGGGGGGGGGGGCAGGGGAAGGGTGGACAGCAATGGCCAGTTAGGCTTTCTAGCTGACACCCAGTTCTAGCAGACACTCAAATGGTCCTGTGGTCCTCATGGCCTCAGCTGCATCCAAGGTTTGAGGAAAGCAGACAGGAGTGACTGAAACCTAAACGAAGACTCCTCCCGCCCTCCACTGTTCCTCGTGGTTCAAGGTGGATGCACTAGAATCCATGGCCCTGTAGCAACGCACACCACCACCCTCAGCAGGGTCATCAATGTCCTCAGCCCCAGCTCTGAGTAGCCTCAGCAGAGCTGCTGGAGATGGAGCCACATTCCATGTGAACAGGCTAACATTGTTTTCGGTACCTTCTGTGATACACGGTATCTTTCAGTCATAGAATGCCCAGGGGAAAACACCATGTCTGAAAAAGCTCCAGGTAGACAACAACCCACAAGACCTAAACCCTGGTCCAGGAACCTTGGTGAATGTGCTTCACCTCTTTGACCTTGGGCTGACTTTCTCAGAAAAGTGTTATGAGAATCAGTTGAGACATGTTTTAAGATTCTTAGGAAGTTTCCATATAGGACAAAGCAGGCAGGGATAGCTGAACAGCAGGCTGAAGATGCAGTATTATTTAGATAAGTTGAAATGATGGCCAAAAACCAATGAGTGACACTGGTCAACTGAACAACTGTCAGGACAACTGAACAGGACTAACACCATTCAACTGCACAAGAGAAGATAAAAAACAACGTTGCTATAAAGTTCCTATTTTAAAAAAAGATGAGCTAGGTACTTAAAAATAAACATGCCCCTAATGTGAACACAAGTGGAGGTAAAATTTTACCAACCGTGGCTGTCAAATATAGATGCTAAAATACAGGGTACATTAGAACGCATCCAGAAGAGGAAATCTTAGAAACGCCACTCTGTGAGAAAAGAATGTTTGGCCCACAAGGTGACATTAAGGCAAAGATAATAGCTGTTCTCAAACATCTTATGTGGTTTGAATTGTACAAGGAAGAACTGATTCATTTTCTGTTGCTCCAGAAAATAGAACTAGACAGGTAAGTAAAAATTACAGAGTAAATACATGGTAGAAGTTGACAATAAACAGAGTTAAAACAGGGAGGCATAAACAGAAAAACATAAAAACTCCTGGTTATTGGAAGTGCTAAGTAAATACCGGGTAACCATCGTATAAGCTTTTTAACAGGATAGATTTCCACATTCAGTGCGACCGGATGATTGGGTAAACGAGCAGATATTTCGGCACTATGCTGGTGAAGCTTTGGTGAAAATCACAGGTCACCCTATAGAGCCGAATTGATACATTTTACATATCTCATAATGTCTTTTATAAAGCTTCTACACAAACTATAATAACCTTGCCTTGTCTCACATGTGTCTTTATGTCAACAGAATCGAGGCATGTTTATGCTGTCTCACGAAACACTCCGCTTTACCCAGGGACAAAATATAATGTTTCCCTAGAAGTTATCCAATGCATGAACCTTATAATTATTGCCGTGGGCTTTTTATCACATCATCACGCACATTCAGAATTATATTTCTTGTTTATTTCACAGGCAAGGGTTACTCAGCAGGGACATGAAGGCTATAAACAAGACCTGAAGGAGAAAGTCCTTTAACAGAACTCTTACCTTCTGTGCTTCTTTCTTCATAGAGTTACACTCAGGATTTAGAGCGAGGCAGTAGAGAAACTGCTTTAACACTTCCTTACTTCTTCCCAATCCAGAAAGAGCCTGAGCTTTTACTTGATGTCCCTAGATTCACCGAAGACAAAGTATACATGTTTAAAACTCAGCATGATTACATACTTGAATACAAACTTCCCTGAACAAATTTATTAAAACAATTTGTTTTAACTTCACATTACACAGAATAAACAAAACCCACCAAGGATGACTCCATTGCTCCTGTCTCTCTCCACCCTGGAAACTTAGCAAACTTCAATAGCTCATAAATACAATCTACAGTCAGAACACAGGAGCTACCATACCTGAAATATACTGCACAAAGGAGTTCTAAGGGATGTGCTAGGAGAAAACTGGCTATCCACTTTAAATTCATTCAGCAATTACAGGTCACTACCATCTTCCTGCCTTCCAGGAGTTTACAGTCTCATGAGCTAAGACAGACATGACTAAAACCAATTATAATACAAATCATAATATACTCAGCGCCACAATAAAAGTAAACAAAATACAATACAGATCAGTAATTTCCCAGGGCGTTTTCTTTTCATCTTATGAATACCATATTTTCTCAAATCTGTAAAAATACTATTTTTGTTTCTTTTTTTACTGGTTTACATATAGTTGAAAGACTTTCTCTTAGTACTTGGAATATGTTGTTCCAATGTCAACCAGCTTCCACAGTTTCAGATGAGATGACAACCATAAATATTATCTCCCTGTATGTCATTTTTCTCATTCTCATTTCATGTCATTTTTCTTACTGCTTCTAAGACTTTCCTTTTATCTTTGGCTTACAGCCTAGCCATTTGATTATGATTTGAGTTTATCATTGCTTATAACTTGAATTAACCTTCTCGGGTCTAATATTAATGTTTCCCACTAAATTTGGAAACTTTTCACCCATTATTTCTTCTTTTTTTTTCTTGCCAAACATTTTCTGTCTTCTTCTGGGATTCCAATTGCACATATATTGTACCACTTCATATTGTCCCACAAGTTTCCAAGATTCTTTTCATTTTTCTTTAATCTTTTTTCTTTCTGTTCTTTGCATTGAATAATTTCTGTTTCTATAGATCTATCTTCAATTTCACTGATTATTTTGCCATGTATTATGTGTTATTAAGCCTACCTAGAAATTTTAAATTTCAGCATTGATAATTTTTATTTCTAGAATTTCTTTTTTCTTTCTTTCTTTTTTAGAGACAAGGTCTCACTCTGCTGCCCAGGCTGGAATGCAGTAGCATGATCACATCTCACTGTGACCTTTAACTCCTGGGTTCAAACAATCTGCCTCAGCCTCCTGAGTAGCTCAGACTACAGGCACATGCCACCCTGCCTAGCTAATTTTTAAACTTTTTGTAGAGATGGGGTCTTGCGACGTTTCCCAGGCTGGTCTTGAACTCCTGGCCTCAAGTGATCCTCCTGCCTCAGCCTCCCAAAGCATTGGGCATAGATGCATGAACCATGACATCCAGCCAGAATTTCCATTTTTTACAGTTTCCATCTCTCTGTTGAGATTGCTCTTGAGTCAAAGGTACCATACTTTCCTTCAATTCTTTGCAATTTAACTCTTTGAACTAATTCATAATAGCTTCTTCAAAGACTCTTTGTGGAAAATATAATATCTGGGCCCTCTCAGAGACAATTTTAATTGACTGTTCTTTTTTTGTGTGTGTGAGAGTCTTGTTCTCTCACTGGAGTGCAGTGATACAATCTCGGCTCATTGCAACCCCCGCCTCTCAGGTTCAAGGGAGTCTCCTGCCTCAGCCTCCTGAGTAGCTGGTACTACAGGTGCATGCCACCATGCGTGGCTAATTTTATTTATGTATTTATTTATTTATTTATTTATTTATTTTAGTAAAGATGGGGTTTTACCATATTGGCCAGGCTAGTCTCTAACTCCTGACCTTGTGATCTGCCTGCCTCAGCCTCCCAAAGTGCTGGGATTATAGGTGTGAGCCACCACACCCAGCCTCCACAGCTCCTTTTTAAGCCTTGTGGTTCTCCCTGATGCCTATGAAATTTGGAAGTCAGGATTTGGCCAGAGTTGGGAATCATCCACTCTGGGATTTCTCTGCTTTTAGGGATTTCCCCTAATTGTCAGCTGTTCTGTTAGAAGTCTGAACTCCTGGTCCTTTTAGGTGGTGATGCTGCGTGCTTGTCCCAGTACTGTTTTTTTTGCAGCTGTAGCTGTGGAGATAGAGAGAACTCAGGGACCAAAAAAACAAAACCAAAAACAAACCAACAAAAAACCCACACACAATTCTCATCCCTTTCAGGCGCAGGTTTTTTAGAAACTCTCTTCCAGCTCCTGTTTTTGGAGGCTTTACAGTGTCTTTATTTTTTTCATCCAGTTTTTATAACTGTTTTCCCCTCTGGATTCACACGACTACTTCACTCCTTCACTGTTACCAGAAGTAAACCACTACCCCTGTTACTGTCATTTTTATTATTCTGCACTAAAATTTCTCCAGAACACTGCTAGCCACTAACGGGTAAATGTGAAGGTCTATTTTCAGGTCCTATCTTACTGCACTTGTCTCTCCACTGTTTTAAATACCATGACTCTTCTGATGGTGCCCAGGTTCCAGCTCCAGCACCAGCATGTCTCCTCATGTTTGCTAACTGTCTATTCACCACATGCTTACCTTGCAGCTCTCGGGAAGAGCAGCCATTTCGAAAGACATCAGTATTCTACACAACAAATCAGCAGTTTCATCCCTGAGCTCCCTGAAGTCTCAAATACACTTCAGACAATCAGGATTCATCTATGGGACCTTACGTTGACAATAAATGTGGTTTGACTCATGTTCTTATTCTCCTTTCACAAAAGCGGAATCACAAAAGATTCTGCTTTGGTGGAGCCTGAATCTTACATCATTTGAAAAGTTGTTTAAGGAAAAGTACAAAATTGTTATTATTATTATTTTTTGAGATGGAGTCTCACTCTCTCGCCCAGGCTGGAGTGAAGTGGCACCATCTCGGCTCACTGCAACCTCCACCTCACAGGTTCAAGTGATTCTCCTGCCTCAGCCTCCAGAGTAGCTGGGATTGCAGGTGTGCACCACCATGCCTGGCTAATTTTTTCCTGGCTATTCTGTGTGTGTGTGTGTGTGTGTGTGTGTATGTGTGTATTTTTAGTAGAGGTGGGGTTTCACCATGTTGGCCAGGCTGGTCTTGAACTCCTGACCTCAAGTGATCCTTCCGCCTCAGCCTCCCAAAGTTCTGGGATTACAGGTGTGAGCCACTGCACCTGGTCAGGAAAAGTACAAAAGTAAGAATACAAAGTTGCTAGGGCCCCTTTCAGGCCTTGTGAAAGTCCCCAACTTTCATGTTTCAGTAGTGTCTAAATTTGCTTCGATTATCAAAAGTTCTGAGAAAATAATACCTTCTTCTATGCACAAAGAACTTCACGTAAAGTTTCAAGTGTTTCATACATGTGCTCAGAATCCCAATCAAGATTTGCAGTTTTGATACCACAATGTCAATAAATATTTATTAACTGAATAAATTAACTGGCTTTTAAGTAATTTTAAGTCTTACAGGTTTGCTGTGTGGGTAAGATCAAACTGATCATGTGCCTGTATCTATTTCTGCAAATGGGCAAATATTTTGCTGGCAATGGCTTATCTCCAGTTGCTCCAAAAGCTTTGAATCATTAGCCATGATGAATATTAGCCATGACTGGATGCTTGAAAGGGCAGTTTTGCTTGAATAAGACACACTGCTGTAACCCAACTCCCCCGAGAGTCTAGAAGTGCTTCTCAAAGTGCTTGGTTCTAAACCAGCTTCCATCTCAGCTTGATCACACTCAGCCACCTTAGTCTTCTCCTCAGTGAACTTACTGCCCATCCCCTTGCCTTACCTTCCAGTAGCACTTCTTCCCCAGTCCTTACTTATAATAATAAACTTAGAATATATCTTTTACTATCTTCAACTTACTTATTAAACTACGTTTTGGTTGAAGCTTCTCTTCACTGGGTGTCTGTCAAGAACTGAGGTCCACAGGTTTGCAACAGACCCTGCAGATATGGCCATCATCTCATACCACCTCATACACTAGATATTCATTTGCTGCCTCCCTTGAAAAGTTACAATTAGCCACGTACCTCTGTAGGAATTAAGTCTATCTTTCGTCAGAGACACACTGTCAAGTTTTTAGCTCAAAGAATAATACTATGGAGAGGAATCTAGTGTCAGAGGGCAATGCAGGGCTGCTGTCAGTCAGAAATAATAGTTATAATTCATAATAACTAAAGCTTGATCATTACTGATAGAAATTAACTCAGAAGAAGAGTGGCAGGGGAGAGGAACTGGGGAGATGTCGGTCAAAAGATACAGAATTTCAGTCAAACAGGAGAAATAAGTTCAAGAGATCTATTACAATACCATATGTTGAATATGGTCGATAATAATGTATTGCATTCTTGAAAACTGCTAAGAGAATAGATTTTAAGTGTTCTCACCACAAAAATGGTATGTGAGGTAACGCATATGTTAATTAACTTGAATTTGCCATTTCTCAGTGTATACATGTTTCAAATCAACATATTGCACCTGATAAATTATACAAATTTTTGTTTGTCAATTGAAAACATAATTTTAAAGAAGAACGGATGAAGGCATAGGAGAAAAGGCATTCGAAACTGGAGTCTAAACTTCTTTTATAGGGAAGCAAACAAGCAACAAAATAGATTTCTGAGCTTAGTCCAACAAATATCTGCTTCCATCCTTGGGCTTATTCCTAGGTTGAACTTGACACTCAAGCTAACCTGAAAATATTCGTTTTAAAAGATGGGAGGGAGGCCGGGCGCAGTGGCTCATGCCTGTAATCCCAGCACTTTGGGAGGCCGAGGCGGGCAGATCACGAGGTCAGGAGATTGAGACCAGCCTGGTTAACACAGTGAAACTCTGTCTCTACTAAAAAATACAAAAAATTAGCTGGGTGTGGTGGCAGGTGCCTGTAGTCCCAGCTGCGCGGGAGGCTGAGGCAGGAGAATTGTCTAGCCTAGGTGACAGAGCAAGACTCCACCTCAAAAAAAAAAAAAAAAAACAGGTGGGAGGGAAAAGGGCAGGCTTCCCAGAGCTTGTCTACTAAAACCTGGCTTAATGTCTCTTTAATGTTTCTAAAACAAAGGTGATATAAAGTAATAGAGCAGAATAAATATTTTTAATTATTCACTGACTAATAGAGCATGCTATAGCTGGTAATTTCATCACAAGCTCTTCAAAACTTTAACATTCAAAGATTCGTGAAAAAGCTTTTATTCTTTGGCTTCTTAAACTTCTTTAAATACTACTTAAGCTATCATTATTAGATCAGCAAAGTTCTTTTTTTGTCATGAGAGAAATATTAAACCTTTCCAATCAAAACACAGAGACTAAAATTAGTGTAAAATGTACACAAAATGTTACCTCTTTCACCAATAGCACTGATTTGTTCGTATGCATATTAGGATCCAACAGCTAACCAGGATCATTATGTGATCTTCCTATTTACGCTGCAATTTTAAATATTTTTTTCTTCACTTACAACTTTATAAAATTTGATTTTATTTATATATTTTTTCAATGCAGGCAGCATATTATTCAGCTAAATATCTATTAAGTGTAATCAAAATTCGTGTTTCTCAGCTAAATTCAGTTGGAGATTTAGTCTTTTAAATCAGGTTGCTTTAGTATGAGGTAAGGATTGCTAAATGTAGGCTACAGTAATTTGAGGGAAACATACTTTGTCTACAGGTACCTGATCACAATAATCTTACTTTTATTTTTAAGAAAATGGTATAAACTTCACATTGATTATCTCCAAAGCGAACACATACAAATACCTTAATCAAGAGAGGTTCATTCTGACAGACTGCACTGGCATCCTGGAACGCTTGCTCATAGTTCTTCATGGTCAAATATAACTCTGCCCGCAGCAGCAATAATGAATTATCATCAGGAGCTAAAAGACAGGAGGAATACAAATCAATAAAAATGACCGCATTTAAAAACAAGCAATCTTAATGTCATTCCATATATTAAAGTGTATATATACATACGTATAAAGTATAAAGACGAAATAAGAAAGAATTGCTCCCTCCAATCATATTTAGAGTTTAGTTATTTGGGAAGTATATTTTTGACAGCTCCTCTCAGGAAAACAGGAAGAAGATTAACAAGACTTGAAAAAGCACCAAGAAAAACAGAGTACCACTGAGTATTCCTACACACACACACACAAGCTACATCATCTCCAATAATAAATTCAGCAACGGCTGAATCCTCTTACTGCTACAGCTAGGTATTTTTAGAAGAGATTTAAAATAATTTTTTATGAAAGTATGCAAGGAAATTCATGTTTAAGAAACAGAAAAGTAAAACATTTTTTTTTTTTCCCAGACATCGAGTCTCGCTCAGTCGCCCAGGCTGAAGCGCAATGGCGTGATCTCGGCCCATTGCAACCTCTGCCTCCTGGGTTCGAGCAATTCTCTTGCCTCAGCCTCCCCAGTAGCGGGGATTACAGGTATGAGCCACCATGCTCGGCTAATTTTTGTATTTTTAGTAGAGATGGGGTTTCACCATGTTGACCAGGCTGGTCTCAAACTCCTGACCTCAGGTGATCCACCCGCCTCAGCCTCCCAAAGTGCTGGGATGACAGGTGTGAGCCACCGTGCCTGGCCTATAATTTGTTTTTCTACACAACTTGGTAGATGCTGATTTGTCCCCATAATTGTACCTAGAGTACATTCTCTTAAGGGAAGAAAGAAAAAAAAACTCCTTTCTCTGCATTCCTCAAGAGCAGAGGTCCTGATAATGACTCACACGCTGCCACAGACTTAAGTCCAGCTACACAGAAGCCAAAACTGGCTCTCTCTTTGAACTGACTTGCAGTCTACGAAGTATTGACTTGGCAGAGTCCCATGGCAAAGGCAGGAAGCCAGACCTCAGAAAGGCAGAACCATCACAGCCTTTTTCCTTACTGTGGGGCCTGGCTCACTCTACCTACGCTCACCTACGATCCTTGTAGGAGGGCTACAGCTATGCATTTTAGTTCAACCACACATTTTCTGAGCTCCTAACATGTGTTCTCATCCCTCTACCTGATGTACGTTTTCAGTTTCCTCCAAAACCTCAACCTTGAATTATTTTCAAATTATCCCCTTGGTCCTTTCCAAATGCTACTAGCTTCCTTTTAGTTGACGTAGGTAACTGAGCAAGCCTGCACCAAAGAACTGACGCATCAAGATATTACACCAAGACATGGTGAACAGTAACTACTTATAAATGTGTCATCACCACATATACGTCACATAGAGAAGGTATAACAAGAAAAAAGTAGAAGTGGAAAGAAATAGCAAGAGTTAAAGAATACAATTTGAATTATTAAAAGAGACATTGCTGGGTATGGATAACTGGCTAGAGCAGGTGGCAGAAACTTGTTTTCTGTAACAGGCCAGATAGTAAATATTTTAGGCTTTGCAGGCAAAGAGGCAAATGGAAAGATATTATATAGATATTTGTTTAACAAGAAGGAAAACAAATTTTCACAGATTTCTTATTGATGCAATTTAAAATATGGTAAGGATAATAATTTAAGTACTTTTTTGGAATACAGATAAACTAATGAAAGAATGGAATTCTGGTTTGGGGAATAACATTTTTCTTAATTAAGTTCCCAAGTTAGTGTTTCCTATAATCAAAACAACTGAAAATATTCATCTGTTAATTATGATTGAACACAAGATTTTATGTATTTCATCTTTGAAAATGCGCATAGTAACTCTGAAATGCTGGCATCAATTCATATGATTTTAAACTGAGCATTTTAATTGCTGAGAAGACATTATAGAATTCTATTAGATTATCCTCATGATATCTGCCTTTTTAGCATGTCATTAGATTATTTCCAACCAAAAGACTGGTGAAAGTGCCTCATACACACAGTTAAATGCATTTTGAAATATACAATTCTCCTTTGGAGATTTTTGGAAATCTACAAAAAAAAAATGTGCTCCTAGAAGTATAGTTTTTTAGGCTTGGGTTATATCTGCTGCAAATCTGTGTAAGAATGGAGATCTCGTATCCTGTTTCCACTTGGCTAAAGTTTCTTATTAGTCCAATCTGCCAATGGATTCTCTGGAATGTTTTAAACAAGAATGTCATGCGCAATTCGCTCTGACTTTTTCATTCTAGTATTTATACATTGTACCTCCTATTTTCTCATACTCTCATATTGCAATAATAGTGATAGCATTTTCTCTTATTCTTGAATTTAAAACGTGTGTCTAATGTTTTAACATAAAATACGTTTGTTGTAAGTTTCTGAGAGAAAATATTTATCCAGTTAGGTGATTTCTCTCCTATTCCTAGTTTTCTGTAAGGACTTTATAACAAGTAGGTGTTAATTTTATAGACTGCTTTCAGCATCTGAGAGATTACATATCGTCTATCTCCTTCAACCTGTTGTGGTGAATTACTCTGAAAGATTTCTCTAGCACTGGATTATCCTTATGGCCCTAATATAAGCTCTTCTTGGTCTTAACTCTTATTACACTGCTGGACTCAAACTACTAAGAAATTTAATTAGGATTTTGACATCTATTTACATATGTAAGACTAGCCTATACATTTTTTTTTCTTGTGCGAGCTTTACCTGATTGTGGTGCCAAGATTATACTAACCTTATTAAATGAGATGAAAATCTTCCCACATTTTTCTATGATCTGAAATAAGATGGAAATCAGTCATTGAGAGCTGTAAGGACTTGCTTGACCTTAGCACCTTTTCAGCAGAAGAGAATCCCTGAGGGGCATTACCATTTTTTTACAGGCTCATGTCAGCCTTTTACTTCTTCAGGGATAAATATTGATAATTTGTATTTTACTTAAAATTGTCCTTTTTATATAAGTTTTAAAATCTTTTGTAAATATCCTTTTATATCCGCAATTACGCTTCTTTATTCCTGATGGTATTTATGCCTCGCTTTTTCTTCAACACATTTGTCAAATATTTGTCCCTTAATGGTCTTTGTAATGAACCAGTTTCTGACCTGTTAACTAAGTCAATTTTTTTCTGTTTTACTAATATCTTGTTCATTATTCCTCTGCTTATACTATCTTTGTGTTAGCTTAATTAATCTTGATAAAGCTTCCAGGGTTAAAAATACATTTCATTTACATTTATTTTTAATCATTCTTTTTTATATTTAAGTTTCTACTCACATTCTAAAGGGTGCTTTAACTGAAGTCCAAATTTCATAAAATTCACACCTCCCATCTACACTTGATCTTAGCCAAAAGGCCAAAAAACAAACACTTCTCATCTAGACACTGAATGAATCAAACTGTTTTCTCTGTTGGCTTCCACCTTTTGGTGATACATTTGTGAGGACAGCACTTCACAATTTAGTCTTTTAAAACACATAAAATAAATGCCTACACATTTTTCTAAGGATTAAACCTTAGGCTTAACAAAACTAAAGGAATTCTCCAAGGATCACTCAAAAATAAGTAGAAGAGGAAGTGCACATTTAAAGTCTTTGTGGAGACAAAACATATGGAAGAAAAATGTACATATGTACTTCCCAAGGAATTGATGCAAAATTTCAGTAGGTTCACCAATTAACCCCTCTATGGGGAAAAGTCGTAAGAGGGCAGCCTACGACCCAGGCTTTGAGAGGAAAACAAGAGATGTCTACCACATCTGTGTTTAGGGTTCACCAAAGGCTGTCTTCCAATTGCAACCCAGAGCCACTGTTGTACTAGGAGCTAGGGTTACAGCTATAAAATTTGTCAAATGTGTGCAGTGGTGAGAAATGGAGAATTACATGTTATTTTAAATGAGTTAAATGAACCAGGCATGGTGGCTCATGCCTGTAATCCCAACACCTTGGGAGGCCGAGGTGGGCAGATCACTTGAGGTCACAAGTTTGAGACCAGCCTGGCCAACATGGCGAGACCCCATCTCTACTAAAAGTAAAAAATTAGTCAGTCATGGTGGCACGTGGCTGTAATTCCAGCTACTTGGGAGGCTGAAGCACAAGAATCACTTAAACCTGAGAGGTGGAGGTTGCAGTGAGCCAAGACTGTGCCACTGCACTCCAGCCTGGGTGACAGAGTGAGACCCAGTTTCAAATAAAGAAACAAACAAACAAACAAACACATAAAGTAATAAAAACTGGGTAGTGTTCCCTGTGAAAAGAAAGAATGGCAATACTCCTCAAAGCCTATTTATTCAAATTGATGGGAGACTGTAATTACAGAGTCAAGCCCACAAATCTTAGGTGTGTATCTTGAACTCTTACATATGCACCCGTGCCATCATCACACCAATCATCCCCAGGGCCTAAGCGGGTTCCCTTGTGCACTATCCCACTTAGTGTGCACTGCTAAAGGTAACCACCATTCTCACCTCTGTCACTTTGGATTACTTTTTCCAGTTTTCTAACTTCTCTAAATGGATAATTATAAATGGAATGTACTTTTTTTGTATCTGACTTCTCACTAAATTATCATTCTGTGAGATTCATTCATATTGTTATATGTCTCAGTAATATTTTTAAATTAATCTTTCAATAAAATTTAAAAATCGCTGTGTAATATTACACTGTAGGATTGATTTATTTACTCATTCTACTAGTGACGAACAATTGAACTGCTCCCCAAATGTTTCTGGCATATATAAATAAAGCTGTAATGAATATTCCTGTACACATATTTTGATGGACATAAGCATTCATTTTTATCTAGGAATATACTCAAAAGTATAAATGCCACATCAGAGGTTGTATGAGTTTTGCTCTAGCAGGTGCTACCAAACATATTTCTTAAGTTGTCACACAAACTTATGCTTCCACCAGTAATTTAAGAGTTCCAATTGCTGCAAATAAAAATGAATTATTGCCAGTTCTTTTCATTTCAGCTACTCTGGTGGGGATGTACTAACTTATTTTCATTTTAATTT